TGTTGTAATTCATTTGTGGGACAAGTCCTTACCAATAGCCTTTTGCTGCCAAGGCCTTTCTAACTAATAACACTGATTAGATATGTAATTTTTGTTTCTTTCCAATGCATAGTACAATAATAGCAAATGAAAACAAAACTATTTCAAAGCATGTATACCAGATGTATTATTTTCACACAATTGTTCCTATTCTGATTGATAGAAACAAGATTTCTACCAAATATACAAACCGATAAAAAGTCCAACACAAACAACACTAATTTGATTCTCTCACTCAGATTCAGTTTCAGTTTCAGATTCAGAAATGACTTCTTACTTGCTGTCAAAAGACTTTCGATCCATAGCAGTCATTGGATTTGTGGTGGTAAATGGATTGGGTGGCGTAGTCAGAGTGTCTCCGTCATCTCCTTCCAACATTTGAACCACAACTTTCATTAAAGGCCTGTCTCCTGGGTACCACTAAATGCACCAAAGTCCCACATGTAAACACCCCATTTTTGACCGCCCTTAAGATTTGGACGCGACTGATGGTTTACATGGTGGAGAAAGGTGTGCAGAGCAAAAGTTCAGTTTCTTCGGCAAGGAAAGAGTCAAATCTCAACTTCATACCCCTTTTTGGACCAAACCAACCTTGATCAAAAGATTTTAGACCTTAAAACCCTCTCTTTCAAAACGATTTTGAAATAAAGTTTTTACGATGTTCTGAGGCTCGCATTTTGTTAAATGTTGCGCTTTTCGGTAAATCGAGCAAGGACAAAGTGGAAATGAATGAAAAAGAGATGAAATCTTTAAAAAAATCTTTCAAAACACCATACTTAGGGGTTTGGAGTTGAAGAAAAGAAGAGACGAGGGAAGAAACCCAGTTAGGGGAGAAAATGGGCATGAATCACTAAGACAAAGTCGAGCGGTCCTCGCTAAATCAGGCTTATCGGTCCATACACTTGGATTTAAGCTATGAGGCTGCCACCGTTGGAAATAAGACTTCTGGGGCTTCATTTTTCACTCAAGAATCTCCTAAAGCCAATTTCGGATGGGGGAGATATGGTTGGTTGAAGTAGGGCATCACTCCGGTTGGACTGAATCTGCGCGGCTTCACCAAAACAGGCATAACTTTTTTCATAGGAGGAATTTTAATGCAAGGTTTGTGCCATTGGAAAGCTAACTTCGGGGGCTTCAATTTAGACACCTGGCCGACCACCTTTGGACTTCCCAATCATTAGCCATCCACCTTTCTTTCCGGCAGACCCATTTTTTGTCCTAAAAACCAGAAAAAGTGGCAGGCCGACCACCTGAACCTTTTGACCTGGTCGGCCGACCAGAGGAGGTGGTCGGCTGACCACCCTGACCCTTTTGAATTGGTCGGCCAATTTTGTCTCTCTGAGTGTGTTCCAGCTGTGCCAGTTGGGAGGCATTTGCTGCACGTGTATGGAGGATCTTTGAAGTTATTTTTTTAGCTTCCAAGAGAAGCTTTAGACCTCTTTGTCTATATAGGGGGTCCTCTCCCTCCTTTGTGCTGACAATATATCTCTCTTTATATCTCTCTCTTTTGAGATCAAAAATTGCTTGGTTCTTGGCCCCTTTGCACCACCTCTCATAGCCTAACACTTCCATCATCAACCTAAGGTCCTTGGAGGGTATTTTTAAAGGTTCAAGGTTGGGTTTTTGGGTCCAGGGGCTGCTGGTTTCTGCTGGTCTTCAAGGGTAACCATTTTTCCCCTTTTTGAGCATTATTTTGATCCATCCTTTAGCTCCATTTTCAAGCATTTTAGAGCCTTGTTGTAAACTGAAAATAGTCTTATTTTGAGCTCCTCTTCATGTTTGTTTAAGAGTACTTTTCTCTTTGAGGTCTTCTACCCCCTTGTATGCTTCATCTCTCTTTTAGGGCTTATTTTGCTTCATTCTTTAGCCTTATTTGAAAGCATTTCTGGGTTTCAACATAAACTGTAAAGTGTCATATTTTGAGCTCCTCTTGAATATTGTATAAGGACACTTTGCTGTTTGAAGTCATCTACTTCCTTGTTTGTTCAATATCTCTTTTAGGGCTATTTTTGCATCATGTTTTAGCCTTACTTGTGAACATTTTTGAGATTTTCTATAAACTGGAAAAAGTCTTTTTTTGATCTCCTCTTCAAGTTTGGTTAAGGTCTCTTTTCTGTTTGGGGTCATCTTCCCCCTATGCATGCTTCATCTCTCCATGATTAGGGCTATACATTAGAACACTTGCATTGGCCATTGTTTGGCCTCCTAGCCACTGAAATTCAGTGGATTTTCAGTGGCTTAGGTGTATTTTTGAGGGCCAAAATTAGAGGGGGGTGACCCCCTCTCTCCTTGTCTTGTTTGGTGGTCTTGTTGGCCTTCCAAAGGGACCCCTTTTTGCATGCTTTGAATTCATGTTCCAGGCCTCATTCTGAGGGTTTTGAGGTCTGCCTTAGCCCTGTCCAAGGCCCTTTTGGCCATATTTTATGTCCCTCATGCATGTGTGGAACAACCCTCCTCAAGGCCTTTCAAGAGGACCTTTCATTGAATGCTTTATTGATCAATTTTAGGCCCTTTTTGGTGAGTTTTAGGGCTATGATATTTGATTTCCAGAGTTGGTTTTGCTATGCTAAGTGTCCATCATACATGCATTGGCTGCATTTCAGTGATTATTTGGGTGTATTTTGGCATGTTTTATTCACTAATTTTGGCTGGTTTGATGAGTTTTCATACGCTTCATATACATGCCATACAACTCATGCTTACTAGCCAATCTTGCATGTTGCCTTAGCCCTTCATGTGAGCACCTTTTGGCCATGCTTTGAACTGGAAATATTCATGTTTTAGGACTGCCTTGGCTCTGTCTTTGTGCTTCATAGTCAAATAATGCATGCTTTGCATAGCTATAAGTCAATACATGTGCCTAGTTTTGAGTTTCAGGGCTTATTTCATGCATCGGGTGCCATATTTCCATGCTTCGGGACCATTTAGCATCATGTTTCAGTGCTGAAAATTACGTGTTTGAATGCCATCTATCATCCTTTGCCATGCCTTGTTAGAGTTGCATGTTGTGCCTTAGGATCGGTCCTCGGTTTGCGTGCATGTGTGCACGCATTTCGATTGTCTCATTTTCACCTTATGGCTACTGATGTGAGTGTGGCTGAGGTCCACTCATGTTGGTGTAAGTCCATTATGCATTGTGTATGCCATTTCATAGCATTGCGTATGCTAGGTTGTATGTTAGAGCATTGTGTATGTCATGTTGCATCGTGCATTGTGTATGCCATTTTATAGCATTGCGTATGCTAGGTTGTATGTTAGTCGCATTGTGTATGCCATCTCATTTGCATTGTGTTTGGGATAGGAGTTAGCCCAAGCACGGGAAACGAGGGACGTTTCGTACTCCGAGTGACGGAACGTGTCTCAATTCCCGGTCGCCGACACTCTGGCTTACCCATGATGGAGTTTAGGTCTTGTTGTGTTTTCATGTGCATTCATTTCACATCGAGTCGTGCAAATCGACTCCTCGGCCATCATGCATCGAGATGCGTGATTGGTGGCACGAGGATCCAGGACTACGCTCCCTGAAGAGTAGTCAAGCATACATATGTGAAAATACTTTGCCATGCCCCTTTGTTGCTCTCTGTTGCAGCAAATCAAGAATCAACAGCTTCTAAAGCCTTACACAACATTCTGAGAACAATTGCAAACAGAGGCAAACCGGGGCATCGCAATGGATTTCCGCGCAAGGCAACTTAAGCATGCATCATTCATCATTCAGAACAGAGCTGAGGCGGTCCATGGATTTACGTGCTAATTTACCTGCTTTCCTAGATTAATTTGTTTATTAATTAGGATTTTGTATTTATTCGGACTGTACTATTTATTCGGACTGTATATTATTTATTCAGACCCTCCGAGCGAGGGCAATGTTGTAATAAGTGTGCGTGTGTGTGATGTATGTCTTCCAACCCCACGTCTTTCTCCCTTTTATTTACCAGCTTATGAGGATTAGATTATGGCATCTTTCAATTAGCATACTTATGCTCGCATGTTTGCATTCATTCATCTGTATTGCATGCACTGGGCTCGGCGCATCATACTAACTGCATTTGTATTTCAATTCCAAATAGAATACATGTTATCCGTTGCATTTCACATGCCATGTTCAGAATAGCCGAGCCTACTGTAGTTTTATTTTTGCATGTGTTGCATTAGGCATTTCTGTATAGTTAGGATCATGCATGGATTTCTAACATAGCTTCTGTTTTGGCTTGGAGTACTCGGTAAGTGTTTATGCTTTAGCATCCTTGCATGTGTGTGAGTGACTGGCATGATAGCATGCTTACCATGAGGCTATGTGCTTATGTGATACAACTGCCTGAATGCCTGTGGGTGAAGGTTGGGTTATTTGGATTAGAACAATTCATCAATTGTGAGTTTTAAGCCCACTAGATAGTGGCAAAACCATCTTTTCTAAGCCCACCCGAGGGTGGCAAAATCTGCATTTTAAGCCTACTTGCGAGTAGCAAACCGCTTTAAAAAACAAACATGAGATGTTTTGTTCCAATTCAGGCAGTCCAGTCTATATTTGTATGCTGTGCGCATCACATAGTAATTCTAGGCTAATAACCGGAATAAGAACGCATAATGTTTTCAAAACTAAATATCATGGTTAGTAGAGGCCGATCTTTGATCGGGCGAGCGGGGGTGCTCACGAAGTGACCTTCCCCAATCGTATCCAAGTTCCCGAGCCGAGGCAACTTTGATGATGACGGACGCGTGGCCTTAGGCAACGAGTCAGGGTTTCCTAAATTTCTCCAAAAAAAAATATTTAGGTGGCGACTCTGTATCTGGCAAAGCAGTCCATGTTTGGCACTTCTTTCAAAAAATCTGTTTTCAAAAACGATTTGCCGGATTTGGACTCTTTGATGATTCATCGGTCTTGCATTGCACTCCGCGAGATTAGATACAGGACCGTGACACAAATTGAGTCCGAACTATAGCAAGGCCCGAGGGCGCGTCTACACCACAATTGTTATTTTCTTCACAATCTTAGCATCTTCATCTTCCGCAATCACGATCCTCTGTTCTTCTTCATGATTTAAACGGTTATAGATCCATTCGGGGAAGTAAACTTCGCTTGTATTCTGTGTTGTAACATGGGTATTCTTCCTCCCTCCAACCATTTCAAGCAACAACATTCCAAAACTGTAGACATCTGACTTGTATGACACGTTCCCAAAGTTCCTAGAGAACACTTCAGGTGCAATATAGCCTATGGTGCCCCTAGCAGCAGTCATGGATATAGCACTTTGTTCTTTCGAACACAACTTGGCTCGACCAAAATCAGAGATCTTGGGATTGAATTTGTGGTCCAACAAGATGTTATGAGGTTTAATATCGAAATGAAGGATTCTTTGATCACACCCTTGATGAAGATATTCAATACCTTTGGCTATGCCAAGAGCAATACCTTGTAGCTTCTCCCAACCAAGTGAACATTTTTCCTGATTAGATGATATAAACCTCTCTAACGAATCATTTGGCAAGTACTCATAAACGAGAGCTCTTTTAAATCCATCAGCACAATATCCGACTAGGCGAACCACATTGATGTGGTGGATTCTACCTAATGTTCCCACTTCATTGATGAAGTTGTCCCCATTCCCCTTGACATCGTTGAGGATCTTGGCTGCAATGTGGATGTCATTGGAAAGTTTTCCCTTGTACACTGTTCCATAACCTCCTTGGCCTAGTTTTTCCTTAAAATTGTTAGTAATTTTCTTAATCTCGGCATAAGTGTATCTAGTAAGCTTGAGAGTTATGTAATCCTCCAAAAAAATTTCAATTTTTACTTGATCCTCTTTCTTTAATTTATTTGATCTGTGGACAAAATATATTGTGACCGTGACTACAAGAAGAAGAATCAAGCAAGGTGGTATCACACCTGCAATTTTAAACAACAAAAATTAAGAGTGAAAATTCCTTCTCCACAAAAAGAAGGGGAAAAAAAAAATCACGGGAGGGTAGACTCTGAAAGTAAAACAGAAGGGAAAACTAATAGAGGAAGGAGTACTTGAAATACCAGTAGTAATTGGTGGTGGGCTATGTATGTTATTGTCAAAGCATTCAATTTCATCATGTTTCCTGCTGCTGTTGTTGCTCTTATTCCTCCTCCTCAGTCTACAATACTTGCCTATTTCTTCACACCTCCCACATATGGGCTTGGACCAACTCAATCGAAGTTCATTAGTATCTAAATCAAGAGAACCATATAGAGGGGAATCTATTGATGTTACGGTATATAACTTTCTGCAAGATAATAGGAACTGCTGGATTAAAAAATCATCAGGTACCACATAGACCACATGACCTTGGCTGCTGTTATGGCAATTATTTGTGATTGGAAATGGTGAATGTCTATAACATGCATATTCTATATCATACCATTCGAAAGGGTAGGTTTGCATTGTTGAGGAGGGACAACTAAAAAAGCTAAAATTACCTGGGTAATAATGTGGTGAGAATTTGAAGGGAGAGGCCGATAAACTGTGGTTTAGATTTAGGAGAAACTGTTCCAGAAAGCAACTGCTGGGGTCACTTATATACAAAGACTGGTCTATGTAATTGATTTGCTGGACAAATACAGTTACAGTCACGAGCTCAAGCATGGTAAGGTTGGTTGGGGAGCAGGATAGTTCAAACCTGGGATAGCCACAGTGATTTGGCTGGTGATCCTTTAGCCAGAATGGGAACCGGATGTCTGGACCATATTCCCCACACCTCTGTGTCACTGTACATTCATCTGAATTTAGTGGTCGTGCTCGTGGTGCTTGTGGTG